TTAGCCTCTGGTCTCTTACAAGAAAGAAAGAAGAGGAAGGGGGTCCAGTCTGGTGGCACAGTCTGTATCAAACTGAACTGCAGTGCTGGAAGCCACATGGCTACAGGTTCAGATACCCAGGTTGGCCTGAAAACATGGGCACATGTTCCTGTCCAAGGTCCTGAAGAACTGGAAGGTGCACAGAGGGGATCACAGTGTAACGATGCTGTGGAGCGTGCTTCTCTTTCTCTCTCTCTTGTGTGCATGCATGTGCTCTCTGTCATGAATAAAAATAAACTTAAGAAAGACAACTGGGGAACCAGCAAATGGTGTAATGGTTATGTCGCTAGACTCCCACATTGGTGACCGCAGTTCCAGTCCCGGACCCAGTGACTTAAAACTCATGCTGGGTGCATGTGCGTGCATGCCCAAAATTCCGAGAAGAGAATGGAAGAGAAGAGATTGTGGCATGGCTATCCCCCCTGAGGAGGACTCCTCGCTTTCTGTCTGTCTCTCTGGTGAGTATATGCGCTCTAAAAAAGAAAAAAAAAAAAAGAAAAGGAAGGCAACCGGTTCTAGTTCTACAGTTAATCCTATATTACTTGGGGAAAAAGAAAGCGATACATGAGGCTAGAATCATTTAGTTATACAGAAGCCAGGATGAAAAGGCAGTGGGCACTGGGAAATGACTTTGGCACCAAGATGCATGCCAATAAGTGGCTGGCCTTCCTTACCAACCAGACGTTTCTTGGGGCCACGTGGTTTCCAAGGGAATACTACTACATGTCATCTAAGTCTACGCTGTCCTGTGAGAGTCATGATGGAAGGAAGCCATGGGCGGTGGAAGTGTAGTGACTCAAACTGTGGCAGAACTTGGAAGGCACAGCATAAACAGGATGTAAGCTGCTGCAATGTTCTTTTTTTTTTTTTTTGGAGAGGTTTTTGCTATAGGGTGCATGTGCTCGCCAGACAGCAAGAGAGACGGAAAGCGAGAAATCACCCCCCAGGGGGGATGGTCATGCCGCAATCCCTTCTTCTCCATTCTCCTCTCGGGATCTTGGGAACTTACGCACACACGCCCGGTGCGAGTTTTAAGCCACCGGGTCCGGGACGCGAACCGCGGTCGACTCCGTGAGAGTTCAGCGACATAGCCATTATGCTAACTTGCTAACTGCTGGTTCCCCCCCCCCTTTTTTTTTAAGCTGCTGCAATGTTCTAAACCAGTGTTTAGATTGGGAAGAACAGGATCTGCAATCATGAGTAAAAACAACAATGAAAGAATTATTAGAAACAAGACTGTACCTTGAAGCCTTACACTTAAGCAAAGGAAGCCAGTCACAAAAGGACAAACAATGCAAGATTCCACTTACGTGAAGAATAGGAATAGTCAAGTCAATAGAAGCAGAAAACAGAATGGCAATTGCCAGGGCATGGAGGTAGGAGACTTACTGTTCAGTGGGTGCAGAATCTCAGCTGGGGAAGATGACAGGGTTCTGCAGATTGTACCATAATGACGAAAATGTGAATGTACGTAATGCTGCTATAGAGTACATTTAAAAATAGTTAAGTTGGCAAATTTTATGGTATGTATTTTAATAATTTTAAAAAATGAATGCAAATTAGGCCAGCAGGTGGCGTGAGGTTAAGGTGGCTGGATCCCACATGGCTGCTGTGCAGTTCAAGTCCTGTACCTGGCAGCCTAAAAATCACACTGGGCCTGCGTGCATGCGTGCCCAAAATCCTGAGAGGAGAAGGGATTGCAGCATGGCCACCTCCCACTGGGGGGGTGATTTCTCACTTTCCCTCTGTCTGGTGAGTGCATACTCCTTATAACAAACATACATACATACATACATACATACATAAAGTGAAAGCAAGCCACCGAAGTGAAACAAAGAACTCAGTGTTAAAAAGGCAAGTTTTGTTCTCTTCAAATCAGGGGCTAAGTACATAGTTCCAGCTCAACGTCTAGGCTGAAGATGATTACTCTGAGTCCTAGTGCAGGCCACAGGCTTTAGGAGCACAGTTAGACCAACCCACCTAGTAGCTAGCCTTTACTCCAGGACCAGCTGGGCCGGACTTCCCACCACGTACCGACGCACAGTCCTGTCATTCATAATAGACGAATGAAAAGTCCCAGAAACCCGTTCTGTTTGGAAACGTCTTCTTTTGTTCTAGGCTTCGGTGGTTAATATGCTTGACAAATTTCAGAGTCTCTCTATCTCTGTAGACCAATGCCAAAGAATTGTTTTCTGGATTCACTGTTAGAAGCTGAAATAAGCAAATATAACGACACATTAGAAATACATAGAGCTTATTCTCAACTCTCCAGTGATTCACCACGGGACAGATGGCTTCCATGTCAAGTACATAAACTGGGCTAGAGCCTTTAAAACATCGTTTGCTAGGAGAAGAGCTTTTTCTCTGGGTGTCAAAACATTTTCTAATAATTCTATTCCAGCGCACGTAGAGAACAGTTTCTACTTAACACATTTCTTTCTTTTCATGGGAATGAACTGCATAGCTCTCAGTTTAGAATTTCTCAGTAGGTAGAAAAAAATGCTTACTGATCTTCTTCTATTGATAGTATCTTTATTCCATGCTGAGCATTTTCTACTAGAAATTAGAACCACTGCCAGGGAGACCAACATCGATTTATCAGCTAAACGCACTGACAGAAGGCCATGAAAGTTGGGTCTCTGAAGAATGCATGCTTTCTCAAGGACTGAAAAGGATAGTTTGTTATCAGAAGCAACTTACCTCTTCATCTTCACCTTTGGCAATGTAGGAAGTAAAGCCACCGTATTCTGGCTCCCAACCTTACAAGGGAAAACAAGAGCATTGAAAGTGCTCACCGTGAGAGTTACATCATCTGCTTAAATCTCTCCTCCTTTAAAAATGATGGATTTTAGGGGCCGGCAGGTGGCGTGGTGGTTAAGGGTGCTGGATTGATACATGGCCGACCGTGGTTTGAGTCCTGGACCTGGTGGTTTGCTTTCTCACTTTGTGTCTCTCTCTGTCCCTCTCTGGTCAAATCAAATTAATTAATTAATTAATTAATTAAAGTAAAATAATTCTTAAAAAGAAAAGATGGATTTTGGAGTTTAGCGGTAAAAACCAACTCTTTGAGCTTAAACTTATTATCTGTTTTTCCCCTAAATGTCTAAATTCCTGAGATAGTTGAACTGGAATGCAGGCTTATTTAAATCAACTTGGAATAAGAAAACTAAGGTAAGAATAAGAGAACTAGATTCCATATGGTTGACCATGGTTTTATCCTGGCCCAGTGGTTTGAAAACATGTTGGGTACAAGATCCTGCCAGAAGGGATTACAGAGTGACCATGCTCCACTAGGGGTGCTTTCTCCCTTTCCCTTCTTTCTGTTTCTTTCTGGGTTGTGCAAGTACCCTCTGGCAAACTGAAAGAAAAGAAAAGGGAAAGGATGGGAAGGGGAGGGAAGGGAAGGGAAGGGAAAGGAAAAGAAAGAAAGGAGGAAGGGAGGGAGGAAGGGAGGAAGGAAGGAAGGAAGGAAGGAAGGAAGGAAGGAAGGAAGGAAAGAAAGAAAGAAAGAAAGAAAGAAAGAAAAAAAGAAAGAAAGAAAGAAAGAAAGGGAAAAGGAGAACTTAGAGTTAATGTTAAATCAACTTGGAAGGACAATTATATAAAAGCTGTGGAGGGGCCAGCAGGTGGTATAGTGATTAAGTCACTGGAGTTCCACATGGCTGACTGTAGTCCAAGTCCCAGACCTGGTGGCTTGAAAATATGCCAGGTGCGGGAACCAGCAGTTAGCGTAATGGCTATGTCGCTGGACTCCTACATAGTTGACCGCGGTTCGCGTCCCAGACCCGGTGGCTTAAAACTCACGCCGGGCGCGTGTGCATGTGTGCCCAAGATCCTGAGAGGAGAATGGAGGAGAAGGGATTGCGGTGTGACCATCCTCCCAGGGGGGTGATTTCTCACTTTCTGTCTCTCTGTCTCTCTCTGTCTGTCTAGCGAGCGCACGTGCCCTATAGCGAAAACCTCTCCAAAAAAAGAAAAAGAAAATATGCCAGGTGCATGTGCATATGCCCCTGCATGTCCAAAATCCCAGGAAGAATGGAGAAGAAGGGATTATATCATGGCCATCCCCCAGGTGGGGGTGATTTCTCACTTCCCTCTTACTGTCTGTCCCTCTCTCACAGTTGCCCTATGGCAAAAACCTAAACAAACAAACAAAAAAACAAACAAACAAAAAAACTGTGGATATGGGGGGGTACCTGGGTAAAAATTTTGGTACAGTCCATTTTTCCAATCTGGCGTAATGGTTATGTCGCTGGACTCCCATGTAGTTGACTGTGGTTCGTGTCCTGGACCCGGTGGTTTAAACTCACGCCAGGTGCGTGTGCGTGCGTGCCCAAGATCCCAAGAGGAGAATGAAGGAGAAGGGATTGCGGCATGGCCATCCCCCCCACGGGGGTGATTGCTCACTTTCTGTCTCTCTCTGTCTTTCTGGCAAGTGTACGCGCCCTATAGCAAAAACCTCTTCAAAAAAATAAAAATAAAAACTTCACTGTGGATATGGAGGGTACCTGGGGGAAAATTATGGTACCGTCCATTTTTCCAATTTCCTAGTCACAGACCAAAATGAGTCGGGAGACCAAAATGAGAGAACAAATTCAAGACTCTTTTCCACTTTGAGATCCTGTGATCTGAGATCCTGGCCAAGGCAAATGTCTTCTCAACTGGTTCAACTGGAGGGTCACTCGGGGGAGACAGTCCCTCCTAAGGAAACAAGTCACTGCTTTTCTTCTCACCCACCTTCACAACCACAGTAGAGAAGGAGATCCAGGGCAAATTCTGTCTTGCTGTTGTCATGGATTAATGTGTAGTGACCCGTCTTCCACTGCCTCAGTTCCCCCTGGCACGTGGGAACACTTGATTCTAAGGAAAACACATAGAAAAAGGGCAATGAAATGTTTAAAATAACCTTTATTCAACCACTAGAGTGCAAGGAAATGACAATTAGAAATGATACAGTCCTAAGGGCAAACTGTTCCCATAATCCTCTACTGATCTGCTGGCTTGCCCAATCCCACCTTTTATAAATGAATGTCAGAAATGACAAGTTTCCACTATCTGGGGGAGAAGTGAGTTGAATTTTTTCAGCTGGAGCAGAGATTTAGCTGAAAACAGAAAGCAAACACAAAAACCAACTGAGTATTTGATATAATCTTGGAGTAGGGAAGAAATTTCTCAGCATGTTACCACCCAAAGTGAAAACCATGAAAAGTACAGGTAGATCTGATTACTGAACATTTTATACAATTTAAAACATGCTGAACAAAATTAGAAAGCAAACTTTTATAACCTGTTAGACAGAGTTAATACTCTTAAATTTAACATCTTTATTAGGTCATTGGGAAAGTCATGATGTATTTTTCTATGCAGTAATATTTTTTCTTAAAGAACTATTTATTTATTTATTTTTACTTATTATTATTATTTTTTAATTTGACCAGAGAGAGAGATACATAGAGAAAGCAAGCTGCCAAATCTGGGACTTGAACAATGATCAGCCATGTGGGAGTCCACTGCCTTAACCAGCACGCCACCAGAAAGCCCCAACAACCCAATATTTTACAATCATTTTACAATCAGAAAATGACAAAAAGCTCATAGGAAAACAACACTGTGGTCATGACAGTCTGAAAGAAGATGGAATAATCAACAGAGAACTATATACAACCATGTACCCCTCATCCAGGAAAGGCAAATGCCACTTTCACTTACAGAATAAGCAAAGTTGGAAAAGAAAACTCAATAATTAGTTTGCCAGGAAAAAGGAAAACACCATCATCCACAATCTGCTGGAGTACAGATTTTTATTTTTTTAAAATTTATCCCTTCGTTTATTTTAATTTGGCCAAAGAGACACAGAAAGAGAGAGAGAGAGAACAAGAAAAAAGAAGCCACCAGGTCTGGGACTTGAACTATGGTCGGCCCTGTGGGAGTGTCCAGGGCCTTAAGCACCAGGCCACCCACTGGTTCCTGAGAGTACAGCTTTTTACAAGCCTTTGGGAGGGCAATTTGCCTTAACCTTGAGAACAGTCTTTGACGTAACATTCGCATTTCTAAGAAGCTGTTCTGAAGAAATAGGGATGCATCATTGTTATGATTATGACAATACAGAAGTGAAAACCATCTAAATGCCCAGTGCAGGACTGGTTAAGGTCATCCGATGAAATAGTGATGGGTATTAAACCTTCTACTACAGGGCTGGCTCCGTGGCACAGTGGTAAAGTACTGCTCAAGAGAAGCTGGATGTCTCGTGGCATCTGGGGTTTGAATTCCCAGCCTGAAACACTTCAGGCGCAGGCAGAAGAGCACAAGATCCAGCAGGCTAGAGAACTGGAGGAAGAGGATCATGGCATGACCAGACCTGGGGGAGGGGTGTTCCTTTCTCACACTCTCACATGCATGGGCACGCATTCTTCCATGAATAAGAAAAAAAATGTACTTCAGGACTGTGGTTTTCAAATGTTTGAGCTATGGAAGACATTCTTAAAGTGAAAAATTCTAGAAATCCAATACTGGAAAACAGATTTACAGGGGGCTGCTTTGGCTAGGAGAGGCAAGGGCTTCCTAACTGAGGCAGTGTACTGACCTGTGACATTGCTATAAAGGATGGAAGATGACAAGAAAGATTTATGAAACGTTATGTACTGGAAAAAGATTACAGAATAACATATATGGTAATCCCACTGAACAAAAAATATGTGTATACATATACACATACTACACATGTGTATGCTTCCACAGCAGAAAAGACTGGAAGGATATATTCCAAATGTAGTAATGGATTATTTTCCTTTTACTCATTTGTTTTCCCAACATCCTAAACTAATATGTGATATTTTTATATTACTAAAAAAAAAATGTGTGATTTTTTTATTATAAAAAAAAAAAAAAAAAAAAAAAAGAAAGAAAAAGGAACTCAGGCTTGGTGGATGGAGGAGCCAAATCCCACATGGCTGACTGCATGGTTCAAATCCTGGCTCCAGGGGCTTACAAGAACATGTGTGCATGTGTACCCAAAATCCTGACAGGGTGGATAAATGGGATTGTGGAGTGACCATGCCCCATGGTGGCTGTCTCTCTCTCTCATATGCATGTTCTGTTGCAAATACAAATAAGCAAACAAAAAACCCTATCTTTTTTTTTTTTTTTTTTGCTATAGGGCGCGTGTGCTTGCCAGACAGACAGAGAGAGACATAGAGACAGAAAGCGAGAAATCACCCCCCGGGGGGATGGTCACGCTGCA